AACCTGTGCCATCGCATTTCAATCTTAAGCAGTTGAAAGCAGCTGGTCACGGCAACTATTTGCAACCCTTGATTTTTACTTGTTGCAAGGAAGTCGTCATCCTTTTTTTCCCATAAGCCATAAATGCAGCGGTTGGTGCAGCATCCAGACTTCCCATGTTTGGTGTTTCTGAATCTTTATCCAAAACTTCCTATTTTCTGTCCTCAAAGCACTCTGACACTTTGTGTGCAGGTGCAGGGCCATGAATGCTGAGGGCAGCTCGAGTAAGGTGTGTGTTATAGTAATAAACTCTGCATATACGAAACACACATTTCTGGAGAAAGAGGCATTTGAATGTAAACAAGAGCCAGGGATCAAATGTAGCTGTAAGCGTGTGTTTTGGTAAAGGGCACAGTGAAAAGACAATTTACTTTGCATGTTTTGATGAGAAACCAGAGCTCCCGGAGGAAGCGTGGGGAGAGGATGCAAACTGCACACAGAAGGGCGCGGGCCTACCGCTGAGCAGTTCATGGGTTAAGAAATGTCTCAGTGAGAGTGCTGGGAAGAAGCCAGAGTGTCAGCGTACCAACTAGCAGAGCTTCCCTCTCGGAGTGGACAGGACTCGGTGGATTCCTCTCTGTGGGACCTTCCTTCTCCTGACTGCAGGACACCACCGTCGATGCTGTGGCTTCCTACACGTGCACATAACACACGCACGGTTAGCATAAATCAGTCTGCAGACAGCCGCTGGCACTGTTTGACTGAGTTATCTTGCGTAATGTAAACAAATTCAAATTTAGGCTGATGCATGGGACACAATAAAAAGACAATCATGCACAAATAAGTGCGACGAGCACACCGGAAAGTTTCACCACCAACATGTCAATCCAGAGAGACAATGAAAACGGGGATAATGAATGAGGAAGGGGATAATGAGGCGAGGGAGGATATTCAGCCAGCAGCTATATTTCTAATAGAGGGAAGCGTGTCTCGCACATACACAATGACAGAAGAGGAGACGAGTTTGAAAAGAACAAATAGAGGGGAAGAGACTTGGAAGGCGAACGATCAAGCTGCTTGTTTCAGATCTCTGACAGGTGGCAGAAAAGAGGCAGCGTGACAGAAGAGATTCTGTCTGTGTTTGTTGTTCTACATAGTACGGTGCGTACCATTCCCACTTCTAGAGTGGGATCTCTGGTGGCCTTTTTTTTAATCCATCCATAACACCCTGTGAGTGTGTCTTGGTGTGTGGGTGTGTAGACATATGCACATGTGCAAGCCGTTTTGACTTTATGACTGCTTTATTTCCTAGCCCACTTATGTCTGGGTGATTTATTAAATGACAAATGCAGTTGCAGTGAACTAGTTTGGCCCGTAATGATCTGTCATGTCATTGGAAGAGGAGAGAGGGGAAATCAGGAGGAGAAGGAAAACAAGAAGAAGAAAGGGAGAATGAGGACAAAACAATATGTGGAGGACTGAGGAGCATTTTTCTCCACTTACGCTGCTTTGATTAGCGCTCTCCTCGCTTCCTCTGTCGTCTTGCTTCGACATCTCCAGCTGTAGCACATTAGAAACATATGAAGAATAACAGACTGAGAAACAAGCCAGGCACCGATGTATGCAGACAGGGAGGAGGGAGGTCTAAGAGTTGTTTATTTTTAGAATAATGTCCAGATATGAGCTGATTGTGAAGAAACGAGAAAAGCTAAGACTGTAAACTCCATATGGATGTAATTAACTCTTCCTGAGTCAAAACTGGCACAAACAAGTCTGCTATTAAATATGTAACAGTGTGCGTCCTGATTTTTCTGGAATATGAAACAGCTCTAATGATACGTTAGCCCATCGACAGCAAAGTAATCGACAGCAGACCTGCTAAATGATCAGCTTAAAGAAACACAAAGAAAAGAAACAGCTTGTCAGGTGTGAGGATTGAATGCATGTTGCTGTCTTTTATTGCAGCACACTGATGGTTTTCATGATTCTTGGTTGAAGGGCATAAACAGTTTGAAGACTTCACCATGATGTCTGGGAAACTGAACAGCCTTGTGGGCTATGTATACATAATTTAATTTAAACTACGTGTTTAATTCATTAAAGTGACACAAAAATCAATTTAATGGACGAACAACAGAACAACTTCAGATGCAGGAATGTTCAAAACGAGCTGGTTTTCAAAAGTGGATCAGAGGGTGGAGTAAAATTCAAATACTGGAATAAATGGTAAATTGACTGCATTTATAAGGCACTTTCTCAGTCTTCTTGACATTTTTTTTTAGATTGTTGTTATGGTGCTTTCTTCATTTTACACATATAGTTAAATTCAGTGATACTGGACGATGTACAGTCTGTGCATTTAATTAGATTTAAGTCCAAACTTTGACTAGGCCACTCCAAAACCTTCATTTTGGGCTTGTTTATTTACTAATATTTTCAGCCATTCAAAGGTGGACTTGCTGGTGTGTTTTGGATCACTGTCCTGCTACGTTACCGAGTCCAAAATATAAAACTTAGGAGCTTCGGAAGCTCTCAGAGTGTCAAACAGACCCACTGTAGCTCACCGACACCTTCATCTCGTGAAAAGCAGTTACTACAAATAAAGTCATTTATGGCTAGATATAACTTATTATGGACTGTTCTACATACACATCAATTTCTTTACTGATTTATAATCAATATTCTGTCTTCTGGACCCAAACACAGCAGAAAAACAGCGTTTAATAAAAGCTTGCATTTGACTCAGGTGTGCAAAGCTCCAACGCCACAAGTCAGACTGTCAGATAAACCCGCCAAGCTTACAAGGAATACAATTAAATGGATGGGACTCAACTAGAATTGGTTCTAGATTGCTACCCTTATCTCTGGCTCTAAATTATGCTTTTTATCATGAGGAATAATTGTGGGTGATGCTGAGTTTACATTTACAGTGTGGGAGGTTCCCAGTGAAAATAAACTATTGAGTTGCATAATGGGAAGTGCTTTCCTTATATTAGGTACTGAAAGTCTGAATATCCTGCCTTTATCATTTATATCGTCTCACAAGTGGTAACTTGCGATACTAACTCAGTGAAATGCCCCTTTAGAATAGAATAGAATAGAATAGAGTAGAATTTACTCACAAAGGAAAGCAGCCGATAAATCCCAATGGAAAACTCTCGGTGACGACAATAAAATACATACAAAGAAATGATAAAGATGTTTGTTGTGATCATAATAATAAGGTTAATGGCTTCAACGACCTGCACTTGCATTGGTGAAGTGATATGTGGCGACAGCTCGCTGACAGTAAGGACAGTGACTGAACCAGCGAAGAAGAACTGATGGCATGAGCGATGTCCTCGGCGTGACAA